CACCATGCCCAGCTAATTTTTGTATTTTTAGTAGAGACGGGGTTTCACCATGTTGACCAGGATGGTCTCGATCTCTTGACCTCGTGATCCACCTGCCTTGGCCTCCCAAAGTGCTGGAATTACAGGCGTGAGCCACCGCACCTGGCCCTCATATTAAAGTTTTTTTAAAATAAATTCTTATTGTGACTTACACTGATTATTCATGACATGCTTTGGAATCTCTGGTTTGTCCTGAACATATTCTCTTTCATTTGTTTTGTTTTCTTTTCTTTTTTCTGGAGACAGAGTCTCACTCTGTCACCCAGGCAGGAGCGCAATGGTGTGATCTCAGTTCACTGCAACCTCTGCCTCCTGGGTTTGAACCATTCTCCTAGCTCAGCCTCCCAAGTAGTTGGGATTACAGGTGCCATCACCACAGCAAACTAATTTTTGTATTTTTAGTAGAGATGGAATGTTGCCATGTTGGTCAGGCTGGTCTCAAACTCCTGACCTCAGGTGATCTGCCTGCTTTGGCCTCCCAAAGTGCTGGGATTATAGGTGTGAGCCACTGCTCCTGGCCACATATTCTGTTTCATAAATAACCAGTCAGTTTATTTTAGGAATAAATCTACCATACAAGATTCTTTCTCATATAAAATTATTTCTCTTTAAGCTGTTTTACCACAAAAAAAACCCTCTTTATTCTTGTAACTGTCTTTACATCTTTTTTTGTTGTCTTGTTCTCTTTACCTTGTTTTATACACCTTTAAATAACCTTTGAATTAGACAAAATTTATTTACCTTTTTAAAAAAAGGACACACTTTTTTAGCAAGAATGTTTTCCTATAATATATATTTATTGGAAAAAATCCAAACAATGAAATATCTATTATTTAATATAATGTTATATTCTAAATTATGACAAGTTTGTCTACAAGTATTTATCCCTTACCTAATTGTTTAATTTTAATTGTTCATCTAGATTATTTATGAAAACTGTGACAGTCATGATTTAAAATTGTGAAACTGCCATTGCAAAAGTATAAGTGAGGCAGTGAAAAAGAGATCACCTAACTGACTCCATCTTGTTTCTAACCTCCAAGCTGTCCTTGTTCATTCCTGGACTTCGGGAGGAACTTAATTTATAGTTTAGCTTTGAAACAAAGACAGTAACAGTCTGTTCCCAAACAAACCTCCTTATTCCCTGTAGACTAGACTGCCTAAAGCCACAGGATTAGAAGTTATGGTAATCTTACAAAATTTAAGATGCAGCTGTTTTTATTAAACCAATATCAATGTCTTATTTATTAAAAATTATATAAGGAGTGATCATTCTGTTAGAGGCTGGATTTATAGTTTTGTAACCCCATGCCAAATTTTGAAACATTATAGTGTTTGGCAGGGATAAGTTTGAAATTGCCTGATTGATTAATAAATATAAACAAAAAAATATATGTCGGCAATTCTTAAGACATTTCTGACATTACTTTACCAGTAATTTTCAAGCTAGCTTTTTTTTTATTAAAGATTTTACTTGTTCCATAAACTTGAAAAAGCATTTGGCTAGTCTTTCTTTTTTCCTGATAAAAGATTTGATTTAAACACTTTTATTTTTCTTTAAGCCAATTAATTAGAGCCTTTTTATATATTTTCAGTAGTGAAACATTGTGTACACAACATATAAATACATAGACATATTAGGTATGCAAATGGAAGTACATTTTATAGATTCACGAAGAAAGATCCTTTTGTTATTTTTTTTTTCCTATCTTAGACTTTTAGATTCTCAATAACCTGTTTTACAACCCTAGGTAGTTGTTAGCTAAATAGTGTTAAATTTGCATATTAAAGAAACAACTCAGGTGGAAATAAAATAGCAAAATTTATATAATAAGGTACAGAGAAAAAAGTATGGTGGTGCTAGAGAGAGACGCTTTTATTTTCCTTTAAGCCAAATCTAACCTAAAATTATAGAAATATATCGTAGTATTGTATAAGGAGACCAATTTTATTTAGATAGAAACTACTTATATTTTAACTGGATCTCTAAGCTCTGGGCAGAGCTCATATTGAATCCTGGGTCTCCAAAAAAAAGTAGAATTATTTTGAACTTAGATCACGTGATGCTTTTACAGTGAACTTAAAATTTTTTTTTTAACAAAGACATTTCTGAGTGTCTAAACTACACCTTTCCTTAAAAACCCAAGAGTAGCCCCTGTTGCAATAACTATTTTAATAAAAATTCAGGTGAAAACAGAATTCAGTCAACTGAAGAAAAAAAATTTTTTTGCTCAAAAAAACACAACAAAATCTTAGGAGAGAAAACAAACAAAAATAAATCCCCAAAACCTGAAGGCCTTTTAAATACAAACATGCACACGTGTATGCATACATAGACACATCTTGGATGTGAGCCTTTTAATTAAGTTGATTTTGAACCATTATGATCCTTTAAAAAAATATATTTTTAGATCTCCTTACCATATTTCAGCTAGGACAAAATGCTGCTATTTCAGGAGTACAGTTGTTGCTCTTTCAGTTTTGATCTGGCTGGCAAAAAGTTGGCTTTGTTATGTAAATAAAGTCCCTTTAGTAGTCAAAATCAAAAATCTTTCTTTTCCTTTCTTTTTCCTTCTGATGGCTGTTTTCTTCCCACTTCAGAGGCCTTATTCTCCAACATTTCCAGTTCCCCTTTGGATTTGACCAATGTCTGTCAGACCCAAAATGTGCTGCTAGCAGACCTACCGTTTCCCAAAGCTGTTATCCACTGAATGAGTCTAGTTCACCTGTGTTGCAGCTACCTGGCACAGTGTGTCAGGGGCTCAAGCCCAGGAGGAGTCAGCTCCTAATATGCACCTACCAGCTGATATTAGTCCCTAAGTATGTTCTTCTGAGGTGGATACTTATTTACAGCCACTGCACGTCTTAGGGAGCATTCCTTCCAGACACGCTCATATGATTCTCAGTTGCCTGAAAATGCCCCAGAAGGCTTAAGGGAGCAAGGTCCTCTATTTCTTTGGAGTGGAAAATTCCATACTCATGCACTAGAGTGTTTTGAGTTGGTCATATCCAATGAGGGAAAAGAGCCAAAACACGCACACACAAACCCAACAAGATAGAAACAAACAACGAAACAGTTAAGCAAAATTAACTGATCACACAAATTTTATGATTTCTGAGCACTCTAAGTGTAAGCAGAAATTAACACCAGTTGGTTGTTAATGCTAACGTTAGTTGTTTAAAAAGAATTTGCAAGACAGAATCCCAAAACAGTTTTCTTACCTAGTGGTGGGGCCAAAGCTGAAAACCGCTCTCTGCCGATGCAGGAGCCGGCAGGCTTGTCTTCCTTGATGGAAGCCAGCGGAAACTCTCACAAAAAAAAGGAGTTTTCTTAAACAGTGAATGAACCTCAGACCCCCAACTGAAAAACACTGGAAGATCAGGGATCCCTGGAGGAAAGAGGTCCTGGACTTCAGCAATCGTCCTATTGGTTTGGGCTATAAGGTGCCCAAGCTGGTACCAAGCACCCGTAGGCTAGCTGCTGCAGGTCAGGTCCCCTTTACTCAGGATCCCTTCATAGTGACCAGATGTCAGTTGAGAAAAATGATGAGACAGGTCTCAATTATTTCAGGACTGCCCTGATCAGTTCCCAGCTTGAAGGGACCCAAAATATTTTCCTTTTAACAGGTTCAACTAATAAATTATGTCTTAGATGTTTAATTTTCATATACTTTACACAAAAAGAGATTGAAATATAACATAAAATATTTAGGATTAGTCTAATGCTATCATAAGATGATAAAACTAAATCCTAAACTTGTATAGAACTGATATGGTCAATTTGCAATTTGTACAAAAATGTATTTTTATTTCAGGAGACATTCACTGATAGCCCAGCTCTTGGTTTCGTTGATGCTGGGATCATCTTTGTTATTCACTCACCAAAGAAGGTGCCACAATTTGATGGATTAGGCTTGTTGTCACCTGTGGGAATGCACACAAGGGTAACTATCCGCCAAGTGAAGGTAAATACTCCAGAGAAATTGAGCCTGAGGGAATTAGGTGGGGTGGTGAATGCATCAAACATATAAATAATACTTTTCACTAGAAATTCCACTCTCCCATGCCTGTAGAACACCGCTGAAATTCCAAATTTTATTTCAGATTATGTTCCTTTATCTGAAGGTACATGTTTAGTAGAAACAGAAACTATATAAGTGAAAGCTGGGAAGCCTATCAAATCCAAAGTAACTATACATTTTATTAGAAGTGGAAAGGGTCTTTAAGTATAAAGAGGCACCTAAGTTGCTGAGCTATGATTCTTCAATGAGACTATCTGGGAAGGAGAAAATTAGTGGGAAAAGCAGGAATCTTGGAGTCCGGCGAGTCTGGCACGTTTCTGTTTGCCAGCCACTTATTTGCTCAGTAACTTCTTTGATTAGTTTCCTGAATTTGCATCTCCTCTCTGCACAAATGGGGCAGGGGTAATATTTTCCTTTTATAGTAATGAAGTTTAAATGAAGTACCATAAAGAAAGCACTTACCATTGATAGACACAGGAGACAGCCAAAGGTCCCCGGTGAAACCCCGCCTTCAAGCCTAAAACAGCTTGAAGCCTGACAGATTGGACTACTTGTCCCAGATGAAGCCTGCCCTTTCCCGACTGATTTTTTTCTGAATAATGCCCACCTGAACACTGGGAGGAAGGGGTGGAGGCTTGGGAAGCTTGCACTGTTTGCAGTGGAGAGAAGCCTGCCATCTCCTGTTCCTGTGTGGTGACCTGAGATTCCATCTGTGAGGTGGGAAACCTACCAGCAGGACCCTCTCTCACTTTGCTGAGAGTTATTTTTCCTTTTTCCGTTTCACCCAATAAATTCCATTTTACTCACCCTTCTGTGTGTCCACAAGCCTAGTCTTTCCTGGTTGTGTGACAAGAGCCCTGTTTTAACTGAACTAAGGAGAAAGTTCTGCAATACTATATGTCACCTGGCACATAATGGTTGCTCATTAAAGGATGTTTTAAAAATCTGATTTTGGTTGCTGTTTTGTAGGTGAGCTGATTACTACACGAATATAACATTTACATAAATGATCATTCTTTTCCTTATTAGTGGATTTTTAGCATACTCAGTGTGTCTGACTTTATTAATTCACATTTAGAATATATGTTTAAGGACCACTTTTATACTTAGCTTCAGGGAATTTCAGGTCAATATGTTGCAGGAATTCAAGCTGGGAAGTGCAGTGAGACCAAGAGACACAAGAAAATTTCTTTCTTTCTTTTTTTTTTTTTTTAATATAAAGATGGGGTTTCACCATGTTGGTCAGGCTGGTCTTGAACTCCCAACCTCAGGTGATACACCCACCTTGGCCTCCAAAGTGCTTGGATTATAGGTGTGAGCCACCATGCCTGGCCAAGAAAATTTCTTTATCAGAGCTCTGGCTGACGGTGGCCTCACTACCTGTAATCGCCACCAGCCCTGAACAAAGAGAACACATTGCTTTTATGCAATTTGAGGCAGGACAAAACAAGGCAGGAAATAGGTTTTGAACACAGACAGTTAATCAGGTTTTGCTATCTTGGGCTTCGGGGTCATTTAACTCTATAACCTTGCAGCCAAGGTAGGGGGTCAAAAGGTTGAGGAGGACACCCAAGGAGATCAGAAGAACAGGAATTGCAGAAGCATGTGCGGGCTGCAGACCTAAAGATATGCTCTGGTGTTCTTATCTATGTAGGGAGAGGGTCTCTTAGTTGGGCTAAGCTGGAAGGGGTTACTCATTTTTGCTTACTATGATTTTTCCTAATGACCTAGTCCTAATGTTAATTATTACTTATTCAATTTCAAGTCTGTCTTTAATTTTATTTTCTTCCTCATTTCCCCTTCAAAGCTGTCTTCAAAAGGATTTTATTACTAAAAAGCTTTTCTCTTTTTCTGTTCTCTTTTTTTTGTTTGTTTGTTTGAGACTTTCTTTACAATTCACACGATGACAAGACGGAGTGGTCAGCCTGTCATTGAGGTGTTACTATTCATTTGCTCCAGTGCAAAGCTAGCTTGCCAGTGTACCTTCTCCTGCTGTCATCTGTTTTTGGACATCCTGACTGCGAGAATAGGCAAACTCCTTTGTCTCCTGTTGGCCTCTCTGTGGCTGTGTCTGTCTGAGGCCACCCCCCTTTCTAGGGGGTCTTACCTGTCATTAACTAGCCATCCATCTATCTGGGGCTTTAAGGGCACATAGTATTATTGTTGGAGGCTTTTGCTTAGTCTGTAGGAAAATACTGGAGTCAGGTTACATTTTAGCAAGCTGCTTCATTAGGTTACAACACTTAATGGTTAAACTTAATGATCTGGCCTAAAGCTCTTTACCTGTGCATCTGGACTTCACATGATTCAGAAACAGAACAAAAGAAGGCAGAGTATGAGGAGGGAAAATACGCTTAGAGGAGTTGTACACTGGTACTATAGTCACCTGTCTCTTCACCATGTGGGTTTTCTTCTTCTGAGGACAAAGGCTGATATTTAGTTAAAGCCATTATTTGGGTGACAGTGTGCCTAGGCAATACTGCCTCTATGGCTGATTGTATACTTCTGAATAAAAGAGGTAAGAGACAAGGAAGTATGAGGCATCCATTCAGTATGAGAACCACACTTCCTATAAGGGTTCTTAAAGCCACTGAAAGATGAAAACCATTCACCAAAAAGAGAATCCGGAGACCATCCTTTCCAGGTTTGGACTGAGATGTGGTCTAGTATTTGTATCATAGTGGTGATTTCCGGTCCATCGCCATCAATTTCTAAACAGCAGTTAGTGAGGTTAAACCTTCCAAAAACTCCTCCTTCTAAGCCCAGGAGGTGGTCTAGTGCTAGCCTACTCCAGTGTATTGCATTTCTCATCTCTGTGGCTTGTACGACTAGCAAGTCTAAAGTCTAAAACTCTGAATGATTCCTTGGTTATGATTTCTAGGACTACTTGTAACCTAATCATGTGGTTTATCATATAGAAGGGAGTGTGATATCCCCACATTCCATCTTGCGCCCAAGTAGCTGGACGATAATAATCAATTATTCTTTCTGGGGGCCAGTCTGTGTCTTGTTTCCGACTTGTATATCCTTTTTTGAGCTTACTGCCCACTTTCTCCTATTTTTGGATTCATCATAAATGGGGTATCTTAAAACTTCTCTGTGTTTTAGGGGGAGCAAGAGAAATGATGGCCTAATAATTTCTAACACACAAGCTCCTGTCCATTTTTCTGGCAGCTGCGGATAACCCATTGACCACAAATCCAGTAAAGGCCCTTGAGTGCCCGCCAAGCATTTGGTGCCTCTAGCTGGTACCAGGAATGGTTCAAAGATGGAAACCTGGAAAATGGGTTAAATCGAGGTGGTTTGGAACTGCCCTTACCCTGTTTGTTTTCCCTCTGCTGTAGGGTCTTTCCTATAGTTTCATTGTACTACTGCTATCCTAGACATGCTAGTTCACCGACTGGCCTAGTGTAGACGGCTCCTGCTCCAAAGGAGGAGGGTCTCCCTGGGCCCGGGGCCCAAGCCCCACAGGAAAAGGTGACAGCCAGCCTGTTGTCTCTGTTCTTCTGCCTGTTTTCCCGGCCCGTGCACCAAAAATGTTTTGGTATTTCAAGCCGAGAAGCCAGAGAGACCAAGAGACACAAGAACATTTCTTTATCGGAGCTCTGGCCACCGGTCAGGTGGCCTCACTGCCTGTAATGGCCGCCAGCCCTGAACAAAGAGAACACATTGCTTTTATGCAGTTTGAGGCGAGAAAACAAGGCAGGAAACAGGTTTTGGACACAGACAGTTAATCAAGTTTTACAACCTTGGGCTTCGGGGTCATTTAACTCTATAACTTTGCAGCCAAGGTAGGGGGTCAAAAGGTTGATGAGGACACCCAAGGAGATCAGAACAGGACATGCAGAAATACGTGCGGGCTGCAGACCTAAAGATATGCTCTGGTGCTCTTATCTATCTTATCATAGGGAGAGGGTCTATCTATGTAGAGAGACCAGGTCTGCTTTGCCTCTACTTTCTTTAAATACAGGTTTTATAACTAGCCTGGAATGCGGGCTGTGAGATAAGTTTTCAGCTGCAGTTCGCTGGGCTAAGCTGGGAGGGGTTATTTTTGCTTACTGTGATCTTTACTAATGACCCAACCCTAATGTTAACTGCTACTTATTCCATTTCAAATCTGTCTTTAATTTTATTTTCTTCCTCAAATAGAGTAGGCAAAATAGACAAAAGTACCCAATTTTCTGAAAATCAAAGAGCTCTGAGAGTAAAATAAATATGTATATCAACTTCTTAATGGAAAATGAGTGCATTGATGTAAACAAATCTCCTGAACCAAGTATTTATGTTTATCTTAAGACAATTCATCAAGAATACCCTTGGGGAGAATGCAATCCTAACATCAGGCTGCAGAATTTCAGTAGCTACAGCACTTCCGGTTGCTTGAAGGAATGCAAAGCGCAGCACATAAAAAAGCAGTGTGGATGTTTGCCTTTTCTCCTTCCTGGTAAATAAAAACTAACTGCTCCCTAACTTCACTAGGTAGTTAAGTGTTTCTTACAGGGTTACAAAAGATCCAGGAGAAATAGAGTATTGAAATACAAATGGAATATTAAGTATTATTAAATGTAACTACAAAAGCAACTGACTCTTTCACAGGAAAATTAATACATTCTTAAGCCTGTTCCTTCTCTTTACAGCCTAAAAGTACAGCTAATGACAAAGTCACCAGTTTAGTCCTAAATTTTTTTTGAATTTTATGTTTCTACTTACTTCATTTGAAACACAGAAAATCAACATATCACTAAATTGATTTCCATTCCTTTGAAATTCTACACAGGAAGATCATTCATTTGCCAAGTACAACTTCAGCTGACAAATTTTGCATTATAAAATCATAGCAGAGATTTCTGGAAAAGAAAATTGTGTTACCAGGGTGGGGCCCCGATACTTATTCTCAAAGGCTAAAATGTGATAGTCTCAAATATCTATAACAGCACATCAGGGTTTTCTCAATTTTGAAAGAAAAATTAGGTAATGGATATGTCTTACCAAGCCTGAAGATTTCACCGTTGGAAAGTTGTTTTCTTTGTGACTGTAAATGAACTTCAGGCCTCCTTTGCATGTAATTTGCAACTTTTCCAGAACCACGAATGAGAGGCAAGCATTCAAGGAAACAATGGAGCAGTGTGAATAAGAGCTGGATCTCACCCAGGCTGCTCATGCCAGCTCCACTATTTCTCCCCTAGGTGATCTTGAACAAGTGACCTAACCTCTCCCCCTTGCTTTCAAATGGAGGAGAAGATAATAATCCCATCTTATGGGGTTGTTGTAAGAATGAAAGGGGTATGTAAGTGATTCAAATAATGCCTGGCACAGAAGATAGTCTATATAAATGTTGTATATTTTTATTCAGGTCTCTTACAACCCCCTCCCACAGCATATCTAGAAAGATACATGGTGGTTACATAATCTACCTGCCAAACTATTGTAACTGCCCAGTGGGTTCACCTTGCTGGCTGCCTAGCAGAACTGATTTATCAAGACAGAGGAATTGCAACAGAGAAAAAGTAATTCATGCAGAGCTGGCTGTGATGGAGATTGGAGTTTTATTATGACTCAAATCAGTCTCCCTGAGTATTAGGATCAGAGTTATTAAGGATAATTTGGCGGGTAGGGGGCCAGGGAACCAGTGAATCAGGGGTTCTGATTGGTCAGATGAGAGATAAGATCATATGGAATTGAAACTGTACTTTTTTGCTGAGTCAATTCCTGGGTGGGGGTCACAAAATCAGATGGGTCAGTTTTTTGATCTGGGTGGTGTCAGCTGATCCATGGAGTACAGAGTGTGCAAGCACTAATCTTAGCTTTTACAATAGTGATGTTATCACCAGGAGCAATTTGGGGAGGTTTAGAATCTTGCAGCCTCCAACTGCATGACTCCTTTCTAAACATAATTTTTAATCTTGTGGCTAATCTGTTAGCCCTGCAAAGGCGGTCTAGAACCCAGGCAGGAAGGGGGTTTGTTTTGAGAAAGGGCTGTTATTGTCTTTGTTTCAGAGCTAAACTATAAACTAAGTTCCTCCCAAAGTTACTTCAGCTTATGCCCAGGAGTGAACAAGGACAGCTTGGAGGTTAGAAACAAGATGGAGTCAGTTCGGTCAAATCTCTTTCATTGTAATAATTGTCTCAGTTATAAATTTTTGCAAAAGTGGTTTTATTATTTTTCAGAGATTTTCAGAATCATCACTTCCTTCTTTCTAGTATCCAGATTAATGGTCTCTAGCCCCTCCAAAAACTGTTGTTCTGTATAAAACTGATGGCTCTGGCTCTAATTTCTCATTCCTAATTTTATTGGCAAAGTTTCTGGAAAGAAGTCTGAATTGTTTCATGCAGAATAATGTTTATAATTTTAAATTTTATTATTAAACAAAAGCCTATTGGCTAAAGTGGACCAGAAACTAGGCAAGGTGCTACATAAAACACAAAGAATGATATCTGCATAAACTTTAGGATATACCAAATGCATTCAGAAATATGATCTTATTTGGTTAGATTCTCACATATCCCTTTAAGTGTACTGATATATGAAGAAACGAAAACTTCTAAACATTAAATGAATTCACTAAGGTAATTCCACTAACAATTTGAGGAAGGAATCTCCAAAACAGCTTTTCAGATATTGGTTATTTCCAAAATTTTATTGTTCTTTTGTTTGGTTTTCTTTTTTTTTTTTTTTT